AATTATACTTATAATTCAAATTATGATAAGCCACATGCAGAGTAGAGATTTATTTTCTTACAAAAAAACAAAACAAAAACAACCAAAGTTGAAGAATGTGATTTTAAGTTTAATGTTAATAAAAGCATGCAAAAAAAAAAAAAGTTGACACAACCTTCCTAAAAATAAAATTGAACCTCCAGTTTAACATAAAAATCAAAAGTATCAGAGAAAACATTCAAATAAAATTGAAAACAAACTGTAAGGGAAAAGCTGCAACTTGTAATAAAACAATAAATATAAATACTGTTAACACTGAATTACAACATAATTTTGCTTAGCAACATGGGTGATATTTCATGGAATGGCCATTGGGTTATGAAAGAAATGTTGAATTACTATTCTTTCTTTTACAAGGATATTTATAGTTTGAACATTATTCAATCTTAATATCTTATAAAACCACACATTTAACTCGAAACTATTTCATCAGATTGGGCAATATACAACATTTTTACTAAAGTTTTACTTTTTTATTCACTCAGACAATGTTGGTAAGTTGATTAAGAGCTACCATTAATTAATTATTTTATATACAGTGAATTTTGATTTTAGTAATAGATAATGTTTTACCAAATTTGAGTGAACATGGAATAGAAAGTATGCTTGTTCTGATACCTTAGAACATTTGTATTCATTGACAAATAATTTAATTTTAAGTTAAATATATTAAAAATGGACAAAGAATTCTAGTGCAAAAACAATAAAATCAATTTTAGTTATGTAATTAGGAATATATACCAATATTTACTGTAGTGTAAGGTTAAAATCCCATTCATTAGTTGCATAATTTTCTTACCAAATTCTGGTTAGCCAGAAATGAAACTGAAAGTAAATGAAATATTGTAATGTTGAACTATGAGTACGAAATAAACTAAAAGACTTGAAATCACTTAATAAATAGTCAATCCGTATTATAGTCCTACGTTTACTCAACCTTAGCGGCAAGACTTTACTTTTTAACAATAAATTTAAGTTAACGCTCCCATACCCTGAATTTTAAAAAAATTTCTTTTAGACTACTACGTAACCTATGGCCTGCTTTAAGAATTTAATCAACAATTTTTCACAAAGCTGTACACTAAAACTTATGCGTAAAATGATTAGATACTTTGAAGTTCAACTAACTTACCTGAATGAACTGAATAGTTAATGCACTTTTCCCAACACCGCCTCCACCAACGACAACAAGTTTGTACGTTTGATTAAAACTGTTTGTTTCATTATTCCTTGACATATTTACTATTAGAAATATTGTACCTATATATATTTGTTGTATATACTACAGTCAAATAACGTTCACTTCACTTATAACCAACTAAACACTGATATGTCACAAATTACACCCTCGTAGTTGTACCTGTATTACAAAGTACGCCTAACACAATATAACACCAATTGTGGCGAAACTCATTCGTATTCTTTATATATACTGTCTACTGCTTACTCGCATGGGGAAATCCACCAAAGATTGGCTCAGCGTTTAGTCCCCTAGATTTCAAAATCGTAAACTGTGGCCAACGCTCATTTCATTTCCGTCACACAAGATTAAGGAATGTTGGATATTTCTCTTTCAACTATAAATACAACCAATTTTCTATATAGATATATATTATTGTATAATAATTATTAATATATATTATTATCCATATACGAAACTAAATCATAGATTGTTCGATTACTACCAGTAATAGTAGTTGTCAACATAGATGGTAGTCAGTAGCGTCGGAATAATATTTACTATCTTGGCCACCAGGCTGCAGACATTTTCCAACTGACAGACGTTAACCATAATAAATTACGGATATGTTAGGATGTTTAACTTTTGAAACATGTACCCACAGAAACAAAACCGAGAATAGTGACAATTCAAAACAAAAATCTACCATGTTCAAATAGAGCAAGTAACAAATTTTACAACAACAATTTATATACCACTTAAAGCACAAATATATATAGTGGGTTTGTGTATTGAAATTAGGATATAACTATCACAATATTTTTCACAAAAAAATTGCTGCTAGGTTCAAAAACTAAACACGATTATCAGAAAATCCAGGACGTAAATGAATTTCTAGACTATGTTTCAATTCAAAGCGTAAGATTTTGGTTCTTAATACTACGAAATATTTACTTTAGAAAAATTCAACGATTCAACTGACACATTGAGGCCCAAAATGCCTTTTAGAGCAAATGAAATTGAATCTGGAAATGGAGCTTCAAGTCTCCCATGAAACTAAATTTTTGGCATTTAGAAAAAAAATCTTATCCATGCTCTGAATTGCAACATGACTTCATTCCACATAGAAAGGCCTTTGATGATGCTTGTGATGGGCTAAGGAAAGTACTCTACTGGTTGAGGAACAGAGAGTGTTATATTTAATCCCAAGAAGTGTGAATTGTTTTGTCAATAGGTGAATTTCCTGAGACACATAATTAGTGGAAAGACAATGTCTACAGACCCAACTAAGATTGAATTTGTTCAAAATTAACCAACACCACAGAACTTGCATAAGGTAAGTGGATTTGTTGGACTGTGCTATTACTATCGTGATTTTGTAAAACTGGCTCCCTGTCATAGCTTGTACTCTACACAAATTACTTAAAAAAACAAATAGTTTTTGTTGGACTGCTGAATGTGAACAAGTATTCAAGAAACTGAAGAAAGAACTAACCGTTACTCTGTATTAGCATACCAAATTCTTTAAGATCCACTAAAATTAGATACAGATGCCAGTGATTTTGGAGTGGGAAAGTTTTATCACAAGTACAATGCAGGAAATAACATATGATTGCAGAGTATAGCAAGACAATGAATATTACAAAGAGGACGTACTTTACACCTCAAAAGAAGATACTAAGTGGTGGTGTCCAGCCATGGGTAATTTCCATCATTACCTATCGGGAGAAAAATTTACACTCTGAATAAATCATGTAGTCTTAAAGTGGATGATGAATTTTCGCAATCCAAGAGACCTGATATCAAGATGGCTACAGAAACTTCAGGAGTGTAACCTTACAATTGTGGTTCACCCTGGACAGAACCATGGAAATGCTAATGCATTTTCCTGAAGACATCGTATTAATGAAAAATGTAAGCATTGTGAAAAGAGGGAAACACGCAAGATAGCAAAGAAGAACAACCTAAGGTACAATAGAATAGAGTCCAAGATGGAACATTCAAAGTGATGATGAAGAACTAATGTGGTTCAAAACTCAACTAAAATATGCTCAGCTAAAAGGCACGAGCCTGAAATCAATTATTCAGTCGCTCAAGAATAGTGCAAAATGAATCTTGTAGCAAATATTCGCTCTATGCAACCTGAAGACTCATTTCAATAAAAGCTTTCTCATACTCTCTCTAGTGTCTTCTCAACACCTATGAGTGCATCTGTAGGAAGGTTGCAGAGATCTCAAAGTGCATCTGAATGTATGATTTTGGGAGTATTAACAGTAGTGCAGTTTGTACCCACTGGTATTTTTCAATTTCTTACAAAGCAAACCTATTCTTAGGCATAACTAATCCCACTGTGTCTTTATGCTTGAAATATGTAGAGAATTGGTGTAAATCGTGTAAATTATTTTGTGAGTGAAAAGGTTCATGAAAGAAACAACATGGGCCACTACAGCACTATTGTGTTGAAGCACCACCTGAGAGAGTTGCTATAGATATGCTTGGTCCTGTACCACAGAATAAAAATGGGAATAAATGCATTGTAGTGAGATTATCTCACGAAATAGATAGAAGTATAGGGACTAACTAACAAGCAAAGACGCTAGCTTAGAAACTTATCTATGATTATGTTTCAAGATTTGGGATGCATAAAGAATTTCACTCAGATCTAAGATGGAACTTTGAATCAACCCTATTTGCAGAGACTTGTCAAATCACTGGACTAAAAAGTTCAAGACAATAGTTTTTCATCCATATTCTGATGGAATGATGAAGAGAAATAATCATATGTTTTTAAATCAGTTACCTATTTTTCTGAAGGAACATCAGAAAATATGGGATCAAGATCTTTCACTCTAACTTATGTGTTATCGAACAGCAGTATATGAAGCAACAGTGAAAACATCAGTATCAATGATGTTTGGGAGAGAATTCAAAGTGCCATTAGACCTCCTGTTCTCACATTCTGAGGATGATCACTCAGCAGAATCTTACACATTACTTTATCATAGAAATATATATTTGGATCTACTAGTGATAAGATGAAAAGTCGTTATGATGTAAATGATGATACGATTGGATATTATTGTGATGACATGTACAACTGTAAAATCCACTTCTGCAAGAGAGGATGAACTTCATATTTAGGTGGGTGTTGAGAAGGACTATATGTTGTAATGAAAAGAATCAATGATGTACTTTACATAATTCTGAAGTACAACTGATATCAGCCAAAGATCATTCTTCGTAATCGTCTATAGAAGTACGTCAGTGAGAGAATGACCAACTGGTTAGCTTCAGAAAATACTTTGTTATTGGTAAGTCAGCCTGCTGAAAAGCCAAAGGTTCTTGATGAGACAACTTCAGAGAAGAATTTTCTGAAGGAAAATCAACCTGTTTAAGAACCCAAGGTTCCTATCGAGACCACTTCTAGATTTCGTCAAGGATAGAGCCACCAGTGGATTTCTTTGACCACCTTTGCTAAGACAGAAACTGACCAAAACCATGGAAAAGAAAACCACCAGAAAGATTTGTTAAGTGGACAGTTTAAAGTTTGTTTATTTGTAATTAAGCACAAACCTACACAATGGGCTATCTGTGCTCTGCCCACCAAGGGTATCAAAACCCGGTTTCTAGCAGACATACCGCTGTGCCACTGGAGGGCGACAGTTTAAAGACAGTTTGTTTGTTTTTGAATTTCGTGCAAAGCTACACGAGGGCTATCTGCGCTAGCCGTCCCTAATTTAGCAGTGTAAGACTAAAGGGAAGGCAGCTAGTCATCACCACCCACCGCCGACTCTTGGGCTACTCTTTTACCAATGAATAGTGGGATTGACCGTCACATTATAACGTCCCCAGTGCGAGCATGTTTGGTGTGATGGGGATTCGAACCCACAACCCTCTGATTGCGAGTCGAGCGCCCTAACCACCTGGCCATGCCAGGCCCTTTAAAGACAGTAAAAATAATGAAGAAATGTTTGATTGCGTTAATCATAATTGTGATTGTACTTTGCTTAGCTGATTTGATTAATGATTCAATGATTGTAATTCTACTTATGAATATTAATCTTTGTTAATTGTAAATAGTGACCATATCAATAATTATGTAAGCTTAATTTTAATATACAATTGTTTTATTTGTCTACTAGGATTGTTCAAAGGACATCATAATCCAAAAAAGGGTAGTTATGTAGACTATAATTTTAATATTTTAATTTAGAATGTTTTTATTGTTTTTTTATAAGGAGTTTTTGCATGATGACGCTGACGCCTATAAATTTTCCAGACTTAAAAACAATTGTAACACTATAAAAACACCAGTCGGTTAGTGAGTCAGCTAGTTAAACAATCAGTTAATCAGAGAGTTATTCAGACAGTGAGTTGGTTGGTCAGTTTAGTTCAATATATTTTTCTATTTGTGTCGTAAATACATAAAGAAATTTAACTAGTAATTGACTTCTGTTTTATTTGTGAGTTAGGCCTATAATTTGGTTAACTTCAGTTCGTGAAACCATATATACTGAAAACTTTCAAAAAGAAATATAAGACTATATTTCCCTTTCGTTAAGCGGACTGGACTTTGCATTGTTTATACCGAACGATAGAAACCTTTATAATAATATATATTGGATATGTGAAATAATTATATCTATAATACAGCTACAACCAGTTAACTGCCTGATGTAAACCTATGGCTGAGATGTTGCGAATAAAGATTTTTGGTTTTATTTGAGATAAAAGTACTATGCTATTGATTTCACGTTCTTTATTTTGTTTAAACATATGTTTGTTTGTAATTAAGCATAAAGCTACACAATGGGCTATCTGTGCTCTGCCCACCACGGGTATCGAAACCCGGATCGTAGCGTTGTAAGTCCGCAGACATACCGCTGTGCCACTGGGGGACTTAAACCTATGTATAAACAGTCCCAGAAAAGCACCAAGAGACTATAATAATAATAAGACTACATCAAAAACAATATAATATTATGCACGTCCTTTGATACATTTACATGATCATTTTAATTTAATGTACTCTAAATGTTTTTTGCATCTTATTTGCAAACATTTTCAAGTAGTGATGAGTATACAACACTATTTTATAAGGTTTTCATACACTTTTAAATTATTTTTAAAATTATTACCTAAATTTGTTCCTAGATGGCACTACAACGATATGACTAAAAATATTGATTAAACGCACTTGATATTACAGATCTACTAACATATTATGATACGGTTTTAGTAACAGTAACAAAAATTAAAAAGATTGTAATTTCCCCACAAATGAAACTAAACTATCGATAATGCAAATATGAGAGCTAATCAAGTACTAAAGAAAAT